CCAGTGGATTCACACTGTTCTGCTCAGTCAGCCTCACAGTCGAACACACTGAGGCACACAGACCTGAAAAACCACAAGCACTGAGAGGTCAAAGGTCACATTCAGAGAAAGCTTCAGCCACAAATGTACAACTCTGACAAAGACTTTTCTCTTCATTTGTTACTGTACAGAAATATTCATAGGATCCTTTTTGAGTGAAGAAATCTTTCTGCAAAACAACAATAAACATTTCTCTGTGTGAGGCATGTTCAGATTATGACATGATATCATAACTGACAGTCGGGGAAGAGATTAACATTTCACTAGATTCAAATGTGTCTATTAAACCAACATGAACCTGCTGAAGCTCTGTCAGTGAGACACAGCTCATCATGTCACATGTTTCATCCAGGTTAAACTGCAGATAATGTCATGTGAGATAAATAAAAATAAATACACGTGTATTTCAACCAAACGAGCCCCAAGAAGGCATTAAAATACTGTAAAGAATTGTGATAATGACTTTTCATAAAGCAGGACTGATGTGAGCCGTGGAGCTGTCACAATTTTGTTTTTTTAATTAGACATTAAAGGTTAGATTATTTTAACCCTTTGAATCCTGGAGCGACATCACTTTCCTTGTGCTACTTGCCGAAGCTTTTCTCGAGTATTTAAACCTTTGAGCCTTTGAGCAAACTGGTGCGATTTCTTTAAAAAACATGGGATCAAAGGCAACTAATCATTATTATAACATTTTAGAATAATGTCATAGAATTAATATAATTTTTAACCACTCTACAGGTCAGTTACTTGTCACTTCTGTCCTTCCTTCCTTTCTTTCTTTCTTTCTTTCTTTCTTCCTTCCCTCTCTCCTTCCTTTCTTCTTTCTTCCTTCCCTCCTTACTTTCTTCCTTCTTCCTTTTTTCTTTCTTCCTTCCTTGCCTCCTTACTTTCTACCTTCCCTCATATTACTTTCTTCCTTCTTCCTTGCTTCCCTCCTTCTTTCTTCCTTCCTTGCCTCCTTACTTTCTACCTTCCCTCATTACTTTCTTCCTTCTTTCTTTCCTCTCTCCTCCCTTTCTTCTTTCTTCCTTCCTTCCTTCCTTCCTTCCCTCCTTACTTTCTTCCTTCTTCCTTTTTTCTTTCTTCCTTCCTTGCCTCCTTCCTTCTTCCTTCCTTCCCTCCTTACTTTCTTCCTTCCTTCTTTCTTCCTTCCTTGCCTCCTTACTTTCTACCTTCCCTCATTACTTTCTTCCTTCTTTCTTTCTTTCTTTCTTTCCTCTCTCCTTCCTTTCTTCTTTCTTCCTTCCTTCCTTCCTTCCTTCCTTCCCTCCTTACTTTCTTCCTTTTTTCTTTCTACCTTCCTTCCCTCCTTCCTTCTTCCTTCCTTCCCTCCTTACTTTCTTCCTTCTTCCTTTTTTCTTTCTTCCTTCCTTCCCTCCTTCCTTCTTCCTTCCTTCCCTCCTTACTTTCTTCCTTCTTCTTTGCTTCCATCCTTCTTTCTTCCTTCCTTGCCTCCTTACTTTCTTCCTTGCTTCCCTCCTTACTTTCTTCCTTCCTTCTTTCTTCCTTCCTTGCCTCCTTACTTTCTACCTTCCCTC